TTTTTTTTGTTGTTGTTGTATGCAGTTTCCAGCAAACTTTAATTAATTTTTTTCTATTTGTGAAAATTTCTACGTTATTTAAAGGTAATTTTTATTATAGGCCTATAGACCTAACACAGCATTATTAATATGATTTTGGAGGTTACAAAACTTTAAAATTACTTTAAAAAATGGAAAATAATTATATCATTTGATTTCAAGATATTTTGTATACCTTAAAAATAATTAATTCTATCCCGGGATTTCCCGGGATCCCGGGAAACAGTTCACTTTTATCCCGGGATCCCGGGACAAGCAAAATACCGGGAAATAAGAAACCCTACTGGTGGGTGATATTTCTTAACAATTATTTTAAATACTGAGAATAATGCATGTAGTGTTATGCATTATTATAGACTTGGATGCAGTTTCTTCAGCTTACAAAGCTACTAAAACTATCTAATTCTCAAATTTTCCTTAAATTACAACAGGAACAAATCTCCAAAATTTAAGAAGTAAAAATTTTTTAATTGAAATGTTTTTCGGACTAATGTCTCATCATTAGAAAAACAAATACACATTCTAAAAATAGAATGATATCTCCGGATTTTAGAATGTTTCTATACTTGTAATGCTGATGATGCGACATTAGTTTTTAAAAAATATTTCAATTAAAAAGTTTATGACTCCTTGGAGAAGGTTTGGAAGTTGTTTTGAAAATTTATGTTGATACACAACAGCATAGATAAAAAGCCTTGTAATACCATTATGGGCTACAGAAATTTCATCTATGCTGGTCTGATCCTCAGGAATTAGGCCAACACAGATGAACATAACGATAATATTTTAGATTGAATTATCAATAAAAACCACTAGATCCAAATCCGGTTCTTTGTCTTGCAGCATCTTGTTAATGCATTATTCTAAATACTGAGAAGTACTGTACGTTTTAATATTAAATATATTCAATAGAATTACATTTGTGCCAAATTTCTATCAATATAAACAATTAAATTCTTTACCTTAATAAATTCATATCAAAAGTTCTGTTCTATACAGAAAAGTAAGATTTGGAATCTTATTTTTATAGATAGAACAGAAAGATAAATTCTTATTATAAATACAAGACTATATTCATCAAAAACTTGTAGATAAAAAGTTCATAACATCACACAATTGATATTTAAGAGTTAGGAATGTTTTAATGAAATAAATATTGCATGTTATTTTCTATTTTAAATAGCTGAAAAAATACTTTATTATATGATAATATTAAAATATTTTTATAAAAAAATAATCAAGAATTTTGCTACTCAATNATTTTTCCTAAATAAATAAAATAAAATCGCCAGCTAATATAAATGCTTATATGTAAATGCCAATGGAAATAAAAATAATTTAGAGATGCTATTGATCTATAGAAGCGCACAAAACTATTTCCGGAATATGAAAAGAATCTCGACTACACCCTTCCATTCCTACAAAGAACTTTTGGTAGGTCTCGTTTTCCATTTACAAAAAAAATAAAGATAAAATCGACAATGGAAACAGGAAAAAATACCGTTCTTACCTATATTCTTTAAAAAATATATTAGCTTTTCTACATACACACATTTATATATATATATAAAAGAATAATAATAAATAGAATTGTATATAATGCCTACTCTTAATGGCTATAGAAAAACATAAAAGTGGAAGTCAAGTTCATTTCCACAATGAATGTTATTACTAAATTATTTCTAACTACATGCTTAATTTCTTTAATTTTATGTTGTATATTCTACTTTTTTGTATTCATATAAAATAACTTATTATGTTTAGAAAATATCTATTAAACGGTTAGAGCTTGAATTAATTGTTAAAGTTCTTTTACAGATCTCAAACAATGAATTTAACAGCCATTTTAAACATCACAAATGTGCGGATTATTAAGTAATTTCACTGATTTAGCCATTAATCGAAAATATAAAAAGAAAACTTCTTTATACAAGTCAATAAATCGAGTATAAATTTAAATGTTTGCTTTGTGTTTTTTTGAAATTTTTAATAGTTAAACCTATAACACTAAGGAAATCGTTTTATATTTTGCATTCGCGCCTTCGTAATATTGCACGAATCGTTAAAAATTTCATGTTTTACTAGTAAATTGCAGTAGATAAAAGGAAAATTTCGTGTACCGGAAAGTAGGTTTTTATTTGTTACATATTTAAATTTTTCTGTTAAAATTGTTTCGCGTGAAATTTTAAGTTTATAAAATATGTCGAAGAACATGAAATAAAACAGTTCGTGTAAAATGTCGGTTTTAATTCCGATTAGAAATTTATTATATTCAAAAAATATTTAAAGAAAAAAGTATTTTAGGCATTTGTTAAATAAGTTTATTGATGTATTTATTGTTCGTTGTATAATTTAAAACTTTTAAAATGTATTTTTATTTATTTAAGAATCTCTCAGGGAGTCTAAGAGAATTACTTGTAAAAATAAAAGCACCCCCTTCTGCAACAGCCCCTTCTTTTTAATGCGTTATTGGTCAATGTAAAAGTTATGGAGAAGTAATGGTGATTAGATTACAAGTTTTTCAGGAGGATTTTGTAAAAGTCACATTTAGAGTTTGGCTTCTACAAAGTCCAAAAGTGATTGTTATTATTATTATGTTGGGTTTAGTGGGTAATACTCGGTTTAAACCGGTGGCTGTGTACTATGCCGGACCAGAGTCAAGGCATAGCAACCAAAACAAAACTAAAATNATTGATTAACTTGATTATTATTAATTTCAATTCATTTTTATTTTCGTACAGAAATATAATAAAAGTTTTCGTATAACAGTTTTTTAATGCAAATTGTTTGCGTGATTCGTGAACTAATCAATTATAATGTAAATGTCATGCATGAAAGTTTAAGTTCTTTAAATGAATCAATAGTTGTTTGTGTTAAGTTTATAGGAAATTCGCATTAAATGTAAGAGCATTTGTTTACAGGCACGATTCAGTATTTAGAAGCTGATAGGTTGAATCTTCTGACGGGGATATAAAAAAAAAAGTTCTACTCTATATTTATGTATAATATTAGAATAATGAAGAATATGATTTATATATTTTCATTTTATAATTATAGTTTTCATAGACAATTATAATAAAAATTGAAATTCATACAAGAAAATGACTATTAAGTTACAATAAATATCAGATGTTATTAATATTTTATTCTATATAATCGATAACAAATTGATCTGTACTTTTCGGAACCTACGGATATCTGTAATATATCAAACATCTCTTAAATCTTTGTTTCTTCGAAATTCATTGATCCTATCCTCATTAGTATTCTGATACTCTGACAAAGATGTTCTTTTACGTGACAAACAAGACATTAGCCTGCTTTTTTACTTTCAAAATGTCGAAGATTTTCCGACAGATTTTTTTACAACCAAGTTCTTGATTTATTATGGAATATATAATGCAAAACTTTAGAAATTCATAAATTTTTGAAATGCAAACTTTACATAAATATATATTCTATATTGTTTTAAAATGAAAAATGAGAATAAAATGCAAAAAAATAACTGCAATGGTGATTTTGGTATCTGTTTTCACTTTTTAAAATAATTATCATCATGTTGTAGAATTAGAGACAAATTTTACGCAGTTGAAATGGCAAGTTACTCCATGATACAAGCTTTCTTACTAACAAAGATATAAATACGGAGCATAAAATTACTAATAAAGAAGACATTTTAATGTCTTCTTTTATACAGGCCTACCAGTGGCCGAGTGGATAAAACTATTAAACACCGGGCGTAGATTCGCACGACGCCAACGGACTAGCCATGTATCAATAGAATTTCTGGGTTTTCCTCTGGTGTCTGTCTAATACCTAAATAGGGCCCAGTTTTTCATAAAGTCCTCCCAGGAAGCACTGCTTTAGCAGATCATCTAAGTGTTGCGTTGTCTTATTCCATGTCTCTAGATATCTTTTTTTTATCCATACAAATAACGAGTAAGATTATGTAGTTTAAATTTTATGTATTGAAAATAAATCTTTACCGCTTCTCGTGATTTATAATTTGTTAATTTGCATGTTTATAAAGTAATTACTATTTTATTAACATTGAAAAATTCATCAAGGAATATACCTCAAGGAAACTCCCATTACACAATTTGGTTATGTGGGCACAAATGCATAACCATTAACTTTGCCATTATGGCCATCTGTTGAGTCGGCATCATAGATGAAACATCTTGAATCGAAAACAATTAGGATTTGGAATCCCACAACATTACGAGAACCCATTTCGGCTAACTCAGTATTTCTCAACCCGTGTGCCGCGATCTGTTCTGTTTTGGAAATATTAATTACTTTTTTACAATTTTTAAAATGCATAGGCATTTTAAATGAGGAGGAGGCATTCACTAAAATGCATAGGCCTATTGTTACAAAATTTGTGGTGTCAGGCTACCTTTACCCCCACAAAAGTTATGCGTATGCCAGTCCAGTGCCGGCCCGAGGCAAGTTTTAGGATGGAGCGAGATCCTATTATGGCGCCCCCTTGGTTGCCCCTAATTTATACCCTTTAATTTTCTTTACCACTGAGGCGCCCCCTAAGACTTAGCGCCTGGAGCGGCTGCTCCGTTCGCCCTATGGTAGGGCCGGCTCTGTGCCAGTCTACCAATTCTTTGGGAACGTCTAAAAACGTTGCGGCTTACCAGCTTAAAGACTGCTACGAGCTCTTTACGCACTATTTAAATTGTCTTCTTATTTTTATAGTATATTTGTAAAATTATGAGTTTTTGTCTCGGTGAGTTTGACTTCCGTATTATCAAACGTTTTAAAAATCAACCGTAATGTATTTTAAAAATATGGTGTGTTGCAGGAATGTTATTAAATTCAAAGTGTGTCCCTAATCAAAACAGGTTGGGAAACATTGGGCTAACTTAATGATTTTGTGATTCGTCAACAAAAAATAATTCAATTTATATTATTGAATTATTTAAATGTCGTTACGTCTTTCAGGCAATGGTTTAGGTATGAAAGTGATTGGTGGAAAAGAAATTCCGGGGAGCAATGGGTTGATAGGGGCCTACGTTGCAAGAATATACCCTGGGGGAGTTGTAGAAACCCTTGGAGAGGTTAAAGAAGGTATGAGAAAAATTTTTCATCTAAATTTGATATAGTCAAATTATGTCTTGATATACACTACTGTATATATATCCCTTATCTTGCAGGAGATCAAGTCCTAGAATGGAATGGCATTCAATTGACTGGAAAGACTTACGAAGAAGTGCAACGCATTATAGCTTCTTCTGGAGACGAGGTTGAAATTATCATTCGAAGGTAGAAAGTTAATATTTTTATTATTTAAAATTACGTTTAGAAAAGGTATTTTACTCGAATTTACAATTTCTATCAATTCGTTTGAATTTCTTCTATTCATATATTTTTTCACGGTTTCAAACTCTTTCGTAAATTTCAACAAATAGTAACAGCCTTTAATTATCAGCCACGACCAAAGCATTCATAACCGTCAGTAGCTTGACGTTTTTATTTAAACAATTTTTATTCTGATTCGTAGCGATTTCAATATGCTCGACCCATATGCAAGTTACCAACAACACGGAAGAAGTCCTAGACTTGGGCACGATCGAGGGTCCGGTGGATCAGGGCACAACACCGTCCGCTCCTCGCACGACGTTGGAAGGTCTGGAGGAAGTAATCCTCATTACGAGAGCCCATCTAGGGGCAGCGGAAATCCGCATGGAACATCGACAAGAAGCAATCCGTCCCCATACGATTCAGACCGACCCAACCACGGTAAAGTAAATATGCTTTTATTTGTCTCTCCTCCGATTATATGTGAGATTTTGCACATAAAAGTAAAAAGAAACATGGTTAGTGGTGTAACGGTCAGAATCTCAACAATGCAAAGACGATGACGATAGACAACAGTTTTATAGTGAATTTTCCAGAAATATTTCTTTACAGTTAGATGCATTTTATAAGTTAGGAATTCTGTGACTATTTTATTCTAAGTAAAAATATCTAATAAAGTTACAAAACATTTATAACTATATTCCTTTTAGATTCATGAATCTAAGTTTTAAAGTATGTCTCATACGCCACTAACATTGATATAGATTTATTTATAGAAATCAACAAATTTATACCATTTTTAGAATATCGCTCTTCGAGGAATCCGAATCCAACCTCACATATAGAAAGCACATCTAATTCGAGGTACGGTTCGAACCCTCATCCACCTTCAAATAACCCTGCTTGGAACAGTTCTCATCCTCCAAACAGCAAATCCGATCACTTGAACGACAGCAATAAAGTATGCAGAGTAGTAAAGGATTTATATAAAATTCATACTTTTTGTTTTTAAATTGCAAACTATAATAATTAAATTTCGTTATGATTTTTTTAAAACAGTACAAGTACTGGGCAGAACATATTACTGGAGAAATTCAGGTAATTATGACATTCTCTGGATAGCTTATTGTTAATTTAATTGTCTTCAATTCAAATTTTAATTTTGAATTTTCTTTAATTATAATTTTAGTTACAAATTTGTTATGATACCAAAGCAGCCATTTTGTATGTGACTATCGTCCGAGCTCGCGATTTGGTGACCACAAGAGATAACAGCGGTTTGCCCGATCCTTTTGTAAAATGCTATCTTTTGCCTGGAAGATGGTGAGATCCGATTCGTAATAATAAAGAAAATCACATATTTCAAATCGTAAATTATATTTTTGTTACAGTATCTTTTAATGTTCCAATGATAAAAGTATCAGTAATTAAATATACCCCACGATTTCATTATTTAAGTTCTTATCTGTTTCATGATTAGATCATCAGTTTAAAGCTTATTAAATATAGAATTTATTTATTTTCGTTCTAAATGACGTCTAATTATTATAAAAATAACGAATTCTTTATAATTAATACGTGGTTATTTGATAAAAATTATTTTAAAATATTCTATTATTAACTCTATACATCCTTATCTTAATTGAAAATCTTGTAGTTCATTTAATTAACTACAAAATTGGATACTTTTTACATTGGTTCATAATTTATTTTACTATAATATTTTCATAAAGAGTTATTTTTTGAATATTTCTGTATAGTATGGAAAATCAGAGAAGAACGAGGTACTTTTCAAGATGCAGCAATCCAGAATGGAAACAAACCATGGTATATCCCAACATACCACCCGATAGTTTGAAGAAACATCAGTTAGAAATTAGTGTTTGGAATTATGATATATATAGGCCAAACGAGTTTCTTGGAGAGGTAGTACTTGACTTGTCGGGTAAATATTAGCATTTCTTTTTTTCGGATTAAAAAAAAAATTCTATAGTGGTGGAGATAAAGCAATTCTGAAAATCATTTGAACACTTAACGCCAATTTATTGACATAGAAACGAATTGTATAGGTCAATTAATCAGAATGTTCTGTACAGTATTTTCACAACAATTATGGCAGAAAATTGAAACGGTATCAGTTAACATTTGTTATTCTGTGATATTACCATGATGTAAATCATGAGATAACAGAACAGATTTAAAACAGAAGCGAAATATTTTAATTTCTTTCCAAATAAAATTTATTTTTATTAGCTATTGACATTTTATGGATACTTTTATTTAAAATAGAAAACGAGTAAAATATTATCTATTTCTTATTATTTATTATAAATGTATTTACATTTAATATAAAAATAAATTTTAATTCTATAAAATCTTTGTACAGACTTAGAATAATTGATCGGTTTGATTCGATTTGATTTAATATGATACGGCAACGCAAAACGAAGGAAATTTGCTAGAGGATTTCTTATAAGACAAATAATAAATAGATGGTCAGAGCGGTTAAAATGGTAGCTATCTCTCTGGGGCACCCGACATCGAATCGGACGGGTCAAAAATTCCCATGAATTCTTTTTGGGGATGGTCCGTTAGGATATATCGCTCCCCATCACCCGGCCGCTCCATTGTGAACCTGACCGAACCCATAATGGGCTTGCTAAAAAGGTACTCTTAGTATCCACGGGGTGGAATGAGTTAAAAGAAAAAGAAAAATTATAATTTTCATAGTTTTCATGTAGATTCCAGGAGGACTTTCTTTAGTAATTGGTCCATATTTAGTTGTTAAACAGGTGAAGGAAACCTGGAAAACTCCACGTGACAAGACCATTGGTCAGGCTTGAACTCACGACCAACTACCAATATTCAGTAGTTTTATTCACTAGAGCAGCTGTCTGCAACCTTTCTGACTCCACGGACCACTATCAAATTTTTTTAAAACGATACGAAATCTGTAGAATAATGATCATAAAAGTTCAATTTTACTATATTAAATTAATTAATATGAAACTCGCTTGTTTAATTATAACAAATTAATGCAAGCCTAAAGTTTATTGCTGCTTGTTTGAAACAAGTTTATGGATTTTTAGCGCTTTTCCACGAAGGACGACAATCGCACTCACAATATTGTTTATTGTTCATTATTTATTGATAACAGTTACTTCCTTTTTGGTTTTAGATTCGAATAAAAAAAACCAATTTGCATTTCTTTCGTAATACTTCGTGTAACCTTCAGTTGGTCAATGTCCAAATTTTTTTACGGACCACCCAAATTTACTCACGGACCATCAATGGT